AAAATGACCCAGTCCAGGAAAATTTTCTGGTTATAATTCGGATTTAATATATTCTTTTGATGTTAATAATGTTATTTGATAATGAATTTATACCCTCCAATCCAAGAATCATACTTCTTCAGCTAATGGTAAACTGCTGATGGACATACGCCATCCAGTTCAAAAGGACCCAGTCCAGAAAAGTTTTCTCGTTATAATTCGGTTTTAATATATTCTTCTGATGTTAATAATGTTATTTAATAATGAATTTATACCCTCCAATCCAAGAATCATACTTCTTCAGCTAATGGTAAACTGCTGATGGACATATGCCATCCAGGTCCAAAGGACCCAGTCCAGGAAAGTTTTCTCGTTATAATTCGGTTTTAATATATTCTTTTGATGTTAATAATGTTATTTAATAATAAATTTATACCCTCCAATCCAAGAATCATACTTCTTCAGCTAATGGCAAACTGCTGATGGACATACGCCATCCAGTTCAAAAGTACCCAGTCCAGGAAAGTTTTCTCGTTATAATTCGGTTTTAATATATTCTTTTGATGTTAATAATGTTATTTAATAATGAATTTATACTCTCCAATCCAAGAATCATACTTCTTCAGCTAATGGTAATCTGCCGATGGACATACGCCATGCAGTTCAAAAGGACCCAGTCCAGGAAAGTTTTCTCGTTATAATTTGGTTTTAATATATTCTTTTGATGATAAAAATATTATTTAATAATGAATTTATACCTCCCAATCCAAGAATCATACTTCTTCAGCTCATGGTAAACTGCTGATGGACATATGCCATCCAGTTCAAAAGGACCCAGTCCAGGAAAGTTTTCTCGTTATAGTTCGGTTTTAATATATTCTTTTGATGATAATAATGATATTTAATAATGAAAAAATTACAAAAAAATCATTTTTTTATTTTTATAAAGCATTTATTTGACACTGGTATACAAAAAAATATACACCTAAGTAAAAGCAATTAAAAAAGACTTAATGTGCCTTAATACTGCGTGGATTGCAAAGATCTAATAAAAAAATGAAAAACATGATGCTAAAATTAAAAAGAATATCTATATTAGTTTTATCGTATTTAAACCAATTCTCGGAGACATTATTCTATTATGTTTCATCTTTTTATGTATATTCATGGTATGTTCAGACTTAAAACTCTGTTTGCAGTAGTTACATTTGTATGGCTTATCAACCTGGTGCACCACTTGATGTTTGCGAAATGATGAGTACTCTGTGAATCTCCTACCGCAATCCGGTACATCACAGGCATACGGTTTTTCTCCCGAATGGATTCTGGCATGGTTTTTATAATTGGTCGATGATGCAAATGATTTGCCACAGTTAGGATAATCGCAAGTGTAGGGTCTTTCGCCAGTGTGAGATCTAATATGAACTTTTCTTATATTAGAAGTGGTAAAAGATTTGCCACAACCTACGATTGGACACGTGAATGGCTTCTCTCCTAAAAAACGCGCTTTTTATAAATGCATTAATATAGCACAGTGATGTGAAAACCGCAACATTGTATCTCTACATCCCCATTTTAGAATTTTGACTTATGTCATGAAATGAAAGTTAAAGAAGCGCCCCCTTGAGTTTGTTCGAGCACTAAATTCATGAAATATCGTTCCCTATATTTAGTTTTATTTTTTTTTGAATATTACACAAATATTTTTTTAATTGTAACGAAATAGGTATATTAAAATTACATTATACAGGGTTATATTTTCACTCAAAAGTTTTATACAGGTACAGACGAAATGTTATTACTTTCCAAAACAGTTAAAACACACGTAGGTGGCAATACAAATAGGAGTCTTATTGATATCAAAATCAAATTTCTCATGTCAAAAAACGTCCAGACACCAATTTTCATCCAAATATTGACGTTACTTCAGAAATTATTTGGAAAAAATCGAAATAAAAATGAAACTACTAGTCTCTGTATCTCCGAAACTAAGCCTTTTAGGACATACATTTATACGAACTTTTTTACGTACTTTTATCTGCAGAATATACCGCCGAAGTTTCCGGAATACAGTTTGGACCACCCTGTATATTAAAAATTACAATAAAAAATTGTAATTTATATATGTCACACAATTTAATTTTAATATACCTATTTTGTCACAATAAAAAATGTTTATATCAATTAATACCTGATCGAACGTTTATAAAAATAAAACATTTCTTCATGTTATTATAAACGATGTACTTAAACAGCCGTTAAACGGTAGCCTACTAAAATGCCGTTAATAGATATTGTGAAGAGCACCTGTGGCTCCGTGGCTGAGGCTATCGGTTCGTGACCGAATGGTCCGGGGTTCAAATCTCACGCTGACCAAGACTTTTTTATATTTTTTTTTGCTTATAGCGTGATCTTATTGCATTGGTTTCACTCTTTTTGGTTGGATTAGTTTAGTTATTTGGAGGGTTGGTTAGCGTGATTATCTGGAGGGTGTTAATTCATTGGTTAGTTGGTTATTTGGTGGGGTTGGTTGGTTTTTACTAATTTATATTTGTTTTTTAATCTTTTTTATCAGTGTCGAGGTTAGTTGCGTTGGTTAAGTTGGTTATTTGGTGGCGTTTTTAGTGCTGGTTAGTGACTCCTATTCCTATATTTCATAAAGCCGTCAAGTGCGTCACATCAACGACGTCCTACCTATTAACGGCATTTTAGTAAGCTACCGTTTAACGGCAGTTTAAGTACAGCCTATTATAAATTATGTATTTTACATACCTATAAACTGAATAAAAAACGTACAAAACAATTCAAAGCTTTCCGGGGACTTGGTAAACAAAAAAAAATGCAATTTTTGTTGTCACAATTAGGAACGCTACAGATCTTTGCATGTTTGCGTTCTCGGTCGAAAAAAGCCATTGCAATTAAATATAAATAATTAAAATAAAATGTACTTGGGTAAAATAAGGAGAAATACACCAGTAATTAATGAAGAAACTGCCAAAATCGCACACCGAATATTCACAAAACACCACGAAATGAAAATACTGACATATTTAAAAAAACAAATGAATATTTGTTAATTTTTTAATAACAAGCAGCGCCTCTAGTGTTTGTTCGCAGAGTAAAGCTTTTACTTCCAGTCATTGCCATTACAGAAAATGTTCTAAAGGGGGATGTTTTGTGATCTCCTGTAGAAGTGAGTTTAATTGTCAAAATAATATGAGAGTTCAAGGTCAAACGTTTTAGGAAACAAACTTCAAAGGATCCGACAGTGGCGGCTCGTGAGACGTGTGACTGGGTAGGCGACAACCAAACCAAACCTAGCCCAGTTTGTAAATATAAAAACATAGCTCAAACATATTTAGGACAAAACTAAAGCAAAAATAACAGCATTCAACGTAATGACATAATAATTGACATAATGTACAAGTATAGTTTTTATTAATCTATTTTATCTATTATTTTTTTTATCTATTACTATGGAGTCACCACAGTCACTATGGAGTACATCATAGAATTTTATTTTATTTTTATTTATTTACACAAACTTAAAAATTGATAGTACTGAGAGAAAGAATAATTATGTTTTATATATTAAATTGACGAGTCGGTCTCTTAATAAATACAAATTATTTATTAAATCATCAGATTGTTGAAGAGCTGTGACAAGATCTTTTTAGATTGAAAGTAAGGCAAGTGGCGACAAACGTTGGTTGAAATTTTTTTTCATGGAATGTCTACTATAAATTTTATTGCATTTCAAACATGAAAAATGTCTCTCAACCCAAGTACTTGTAAATGGTGTAGTAACAAACAAAACAAACAATTTGAAAGCCTCTGGAAATATATTTCCAGGATTATTCTCCCTAAATTATTTGATAATCGAAATTATCATATCTACTATTAATACCTGCAATTTATTCATTAATTTATGTTGGTCAATAACATTTTTTGTTTGTTAAATCACGTTAAATGCGTTGGAAGTTGGAAATTGGATCGGAAATTTCGGATCCGCAGGACATAAATAAAAATTATTGAGACATACGAGTACCTATGTGCAAACCTTATTTCTAAATGTATAACAATGTTATCTAATATTTCATAAAATAAAATTCGCAAAGATATTTGACTTAGCCGCTTATATTAACACATCGAATTGAAATACCACAGAGACTTTTCTGTAATATCTGTTGTATCGTCTTCTTGCACCGAATAAAATAACGCGCTTGTTTATTTCGGATTCTTTTATTTCTGTGGCGTGTTCTGAAATGCAACCGGTTATATCATTTTTAAAAATCTCGGACAAGCCCGAAAAATGTTTCAAATTTGCTTTAAACGTTTTTTTGAATTTTCATATAAAAGTTTTAAATGCTACGTATAATGAATCATATGAAATATCCCCTTAACAAAATGTGATTATCTCCTTATGAAATATCGGAAATATCCCCTTAACTTCTAAGCCTACCGAGCCTCCACGACTTCATGCGAAGGCGACCGGAGATTTCGCCTAAGCCCCGCCTTAATACGATACAACTCCGACTTACGTCGCGTCGCTACAGCACGATGAGTTGAGACAGAGACAGAAGACTGCCGTACGTCCTGCATTGATTCTGATAGTAGGCGATGTAGAAATCGCCGAACAATGGCACTCCAACGGTGAACATCACAGGTCAAAATTATTTTGTTTCCTAATGCAGCGGCACTGTCAGCGGTCAGCGTACGCCATCGCCAGCGGTAGTGCATATGTTAATATACAAGACCACAAATATTAAAATAATATTGATTATTAAAACACACTTCCGTGTATTAACATAATTTTTATGTATTGGCAACATTAATAGCAAATAATGTAATGTAATAAATCGCTTAAATTCTGCCAAAATCTTAGGCTACGCGCCGCCGCCTACCTTGCCTACCCTGACGAGCCGCCACTGGGATCCGATGCTTTCCGTCGCTTCTGTATAATCAATTAGGTATTTTCTAATTTAAAGAAAAAAAAAAATTAAAAAAAACTTAGTAGGTACCTGTATGCGTTCTTGTGTGTTTTTGCAAATCCCCAGACATCTTAAATCTTTTCAAGCACACCTGACATACATATGGTTTTTCTCCAGTGTGCCTTCTTATATGAGACTTGAGTAAATAATTTGTTGGGAAATTTTTCTCACAGCCTTCAAAAGAACAACTGTAAGGTCTATTATTTAACATATTTGTATGAGTGACCATATGTGCCTGAAACGTTTCTAAATGTAATACATATATTTTGTAATAAAAAAAATACCTCACATCAAAATATTGCTTACTAATATATTCTTTCTTACATCCCTCATATAAACATTTAAATTTCATCTGTGAATCACATAAAATGTCTGGCTGTTTAATATCACTAAACATTATCATCTGGTAAGGGTGTATATCAATGACAGTACTATTCTGAGTATCTTCACTTACTATAATAGACATTGCAAGTAATAAAAACGAGAAAATTCAGAGTAAAATTTAAAAAAGGAACTAATTAATTTCACCCAATCTACTTTCTTTCTACATATTATAAATTCTCAACATTTGCTTGATTATTTTCATTCATTCTTGGAGAACATTCCCAATTAGATCACTAATCCCAATAAATCACTCTGAATACCTATAATTTCATATATGAAACAAATATCCTACCTGTATTAATTACAGTTTCATAAATTTCTTCGTCATCATGTAATTTCTGGTCTAGTTGAAGTAAATCTCTACTCATTATTAAATTTCCTGGTACTACTGACTCAATATTGTCTAATTTATAAAAAAATATAAATTAAATCTTTACATCTAAACTGCAATCTATTATACAACTACCTTCAGAAACATTATCAATATATAAGAATTTTTCATCATTTATTGTTAAAATTTTCAAAGTGGAATTAAGTGTAGTATCAAACTGTTGCTCTTCTCCACTGTCTTGAAGTACATATGAAGTTGTCTCTTCAGGTTCTTCATTTTTTACTTTTACATCATCATTTACAGTAAAATATAGTATACTTTTATTCAAGTTGTCAGCCAGATCTTGCTCACACATGGAAACACCATTTACTAAAGTGTACATTGGTACACTAGTATCGGCTTCTAAATAAAATGATTATTATTAAATTTTACATTACCAATCATATTGTCCCCTATCTCACATAATGGCTTAAAAGCATTTTAGTGAATTTGTCAAGAGAACAAAATAAAAAATTATCTGTACTAAAATTGTAATTTTTGTAAGATATATTGAATACTATCAATGGTTTTATACTGTGATTGATGCAATTACAGCACTTCTCAACTCAATATAAAAGTTATGCCTGTAGAGAAGGCACAAATGGCATAACATATTTTTATGAATTTTCAGTTATGCGAGATAAGGGACGATGTATTAATTGTAAGCATAAAAAATATTTACCCATAATATTATCACAAATTTCTACAGGAAAAATCCAAGAGAATCAATTCAAAAATTTTTCAATCACAAAAACACAACTATTTAATAACAAATATTAAAAATTGGTCCATTACTGTTTTGCCATGCCTTACACCGAATTTTGCTCCAAAATATCCTGCAAAATTTAAGACAATTTTAATTGGCTAAATTATGTTTTTAATGCAATATTTACTTATTTACTAAAATTATATGCAACTTTTTTTATGGATTCAATACCATAGACTCTGCCATAGATAAATAATTAATTCAATGCCTCATAAATCAAATTTTATATTCTGTGGTCTCACATCATATCCAGGTCATATCCTTATCAAAGGTCATGTCATAACATTTTAGTTATTTTATGTCTGTGCCGTTGCATAGCCGTTGTTCTCTATTGACATGATTGACAATTGACATTGACAATTGACAACTGACAACTTTTCGTACACGTCAATTTTTTTAGAAAAAACACTGAAATTTATTATTTTATACATGTTTCCAATGTTTTTCTAAAGTAATATGAACATTTATTAAGCCGGTAATTAAATCACTACAAACCAACTGATTTACAAAGAGATTTTCTGGTCAAGATGGGTACGTATTCAAGAAAACTCTTTTCTTTTTTTGAAGGTTAGTTTTTAGGAGTCCTATTTAGTTATTTCAAGAGCCTTATCGGGGCCCGGGAGATGCGTATTTTAATATTAGGTTTGGATGGGGCCGGTAAAACGACGATATTGTATAGACTTCAAGTGGGCGAAGTAGTAACGACAATACCAACAATCGGATTTAATGTAGAACAAGTTACGTATAAAAATCTTAAATTTCAAGTATGGGATTTAGGTGGCCAAACTAGTATTAGGTAACGAGACATTATAATGTATTATAGTTTGTTGTTTATATCAAATGGATTATTTTTAGGCCATATTGGAGGTGTTACTACAGTAATACAGATGCTATAATATACGTTGTAGATTCAGCAGATAAAGAACGAATGGGCATATCAAAAGACGAGCTGTTTCATATGTTAAGAGTAAGCTTTTATTAGTAATACCAGAGTTGAAAAAATATGTTCTTTTTGTTTTTATGCTCTGTTTTAAAATACAAAGTGTAGATGTCTTTCTAATAGTGTTTTAAGTACATCTAAAACACTTATTTTTAGACAAAACGTTTAAAACATAACAAACCTGGATTATATATACTATTTGAGTTAGATTAGAAGGTATCTTTTTGTAGGAAGAAGAGCTGCAAGATGCTATTTTGGTGGTCTTAGCTAACAAACAAGATATACCAGGTTGTATGTCGTTGAAAGAAGTCCACCAAGCGTTAGGGTTGGAGGCACTAAAAAATCGCACATTTCAAATATTTAAAACATCTGCAACGAAAGGGGAAGGACTGGATGTGGCTATGGAATGGTTAGCCAATGCACTGAAAAATCGGAAATAACAGCTTTAGATTGTACTTGTAATTTATTTCTAGTCTGTAATAATTATTACTAAGGAGTGATATGATGCAATGAGATCATATTTGCCCAAAATATGAAAGGTGTAAATTGTATTTACAGAAGGTGATTTTTAATATCAAAATGTTACATGGACTTTTTTATAAATGAACAGAAGTGATTATAAACTGAAAAGCAAACTGCATCCTTGCCAATAAAATATAATTCGTAATATTAAAGCATTAACAATCTTCTGTAAATGATTTTATTCTATATTGGAGGCATAAATAGCTTTATTTTTGTAATGTTTATTAGATTCATTCCATATATAAACTAGTTCAGATTCCATGATTATTTTTTGTTTGGACATTTTTTTGTTATTTGTACTCGCAAAAAAAACAATTGTATTTGAACAAGTTTGTAAGAATTGCTTATATCATTTTTATATTTTACCACGTCTTAAATTTGTAAGATTCAGAGTATTTTTCACAGATATTTATGTTATTTTAGTTATTGATGTGTTTCTTATGTATCAAAAAATAAATTTAAAAATGTAAATAAACTATAATTACCGTATTTTCAAATAGTTCTGTTTTTCCAAAAACATGAATTACTCTTAGAACTCGAACACACTGACGACCAAGTCGCACCGGCCAGGCCGCTGCTACCTCTAAAACCATTAAATCAAATGATACAGCGCACACTAACGTCCTGGTCGTTGCGACCAGTAGACTGCACTAAAATATTATTTTCTGCTGCTTGTTGCCGGTTTTCTTCCAAATTAATAATTTTTCAGATGAAATCCCTCAAATTCAACGCACAATATTTTATTTTCTATAAAGCTACGTTTACACAATGCGAGTTTTGCTTGCACAAGAACTTGATTGCAAGTATTTGCTTAATGTAAACTGTGTTTCAAGTAATTGCTCAACTGATTGTAAAAGAAAAATTACTTTGCAAGTAAAGTTGATCGACGGTCTACTTTTCTTGCACGCTAGTACTTGTAGAACGAAAATTTTACATGTAAACACGCTGTCAAGTTCTTGCAGTAGCAGTTGCACGAAAAAATGGCCCCAAGCAGGTTGTCTCACTACCAAATTATGAGGTTTTTAACAATTTACGAAAAGCACGAATGTTTGTAGATCGTTAGAAGAGTACACCTTAGTGTACACTATAGAAATAAAATTATGAGATGCTGCCTCTGAAAGAGTTTTGGAATAAACAGGTTTTCCTCAGATTTATCCATGGTTTTACCCATACCCTTGTTTTTTGATTTTTTTCTAACAAAGTACGCAATTCATCACTTAACGTATGACATAAAATATTTACACCACATTTAACAATCCCTGTGGTATCCATAGTTCTTGCACAATAACTTGACTAGTGTAAACATACAATCTTAAAATGTTCAGTTGCAAGTACTCGCAAACAAGTATTTGCGCAAGCAAAACTTGCATCGTGTAAACGCCGCTTAAGATATATGTGTTTTAGTGTAGTTTTTGCACACGTGCAGAAAATCCAAAGAAATAGTATAGACTGGATCAAAGGGAAACTTAAATCTAGTCCCCTTTTTATCAAGGGTCGATTCTAGTAAAAATTCAAAACATTTTTATATGACATACTCTATTTATGGTTGGTATGATACCTGTTATTATACCTTCGAGTTTCGATGTTAAAAAATAAAAAATAATTTTTATTAAATTAGTTTTTATAGTTGTATTGTAGTCATGTACAAGGAAGACAACTGTATTTTAAATATTATATTTAATTTAACGTTTTTCAAACAGGGTCCATTAGACGTACTATATTTCTACTAGGTACATTATTTAAAAAAAATTAAGAGTAAAAGTAACTTAAACATTCATAAAAATAGAAGTATTTACTGTTGTAGATTCCCAGTAACAATAAAAAAAAGGAATTTATATTATAAACATTGAAATAACTGAAAGCTAAACTTTCTACCTGCTTATATTTAGAGCCAGTGTCTAACGACCTTTTTTTACGATGGTCCTAATATGTTTACTTCTAAAGTTGATAAGAGCCATCAGTAGAAGTGCATATCAGTAGAAAAAAGAAACAGAATATCTCCCTTTCTGTCGGTCGCGCGTACACAATGCTTTTTGTTCTGCTTGTTCGTGCGCGCTCGGTTCGTTCGGGCTAAAATGCTCAATTCTGGACGCACCTTTAGGAACAATACTGTTTTTGTCCTTTATTGATATAATTCACAAAGTCTCACGAGTTACTTGTCTCACTCTACACATATTAAATTACATAGACGTAGGATGTAGAATATTCTGTTATGAAACGACGGATGGAATAGCAGGCATCGCGGATTTGAAAAACATGGAAAAAACGACGTTATCGTGTAGTCGGGGTTGGAGATTTTACTTACTCCATTTACCACACCAGTTTTTATTAACGAAAAATCCAAGAATATTTTAAATGCATTATTTAATATTAGAACATTTAATAAGCTCATGAATAGCAACTTCGCTTTTTAGTTAACTCGGATATTTTAACATTTCTGAAACTTAATTCTTTGTGAATTTCGTCATGGCGACCTTTCTAATTACCATTAAATGACAATGTCAGTCAGACGAACCTAGTCAGATATCTCCTCTGAGTTAACTATGAGTTTGTGATAAATGTTAAGTCAATTATAGGATAGACAAGAATTATCATTTTTATTTTTATTTTTTGGATAAAATAATTTCTTAAGAAATGTAAGTAGATAAATGACACTTAAAAAACGGTTTTATTTATATAATACTTTAAACAAAACAATGTTTATAAATAAAACAAAAGCCATGAAGTAATAAGAAGTATGTATTAAAATATATCTTGATTTGATGATTCATCCTCCTCAACAGCTAAAGGATCTCCAAACCTAGCTACTTTCTTTTTCGAATTATCTAACTCCATTTGAACCTTTTTTCTAATATAAAAGATAGGACAGTCTCTGCTAGTGCATAAAATCTCTTCATGTAATGAACCTTGGCATCTTTGACACTCTGTTATAAAAAAAAATATTTTTAACATCAATTTTTATTTTTGTTTTCTTTGTTTTTTTTAAAGGCAATATCTTATAAATTCTTGGGCTCAAGTGTAAAGGTCGATTTATAAATTGAAAACGGTGCGGTTCGACGTTGCGGTTGCGATTATTTCTATCGGCTATTACTAACGTTTCAAGGTCAACGTTCCTGTCGAAGTTAAATATTGGTTAATTTTTGACGTAAAACGTCAACCGCAACAACAACCGAATAATTTATAATCAACAAAACATCCTGCGTATAAACAAACTTTTTACCGACCGTAACGTCGGGCGTCGAACCGCAACGTTTTCAGTTTATAAATCGACCTTAACCTTTAAATTAATGTAACCCTCAACTGGCGTGGTGGGGTCCAGCGGACACCAAGCACTATTTAAACCTCTGTAAAATGTTTACGTTTAAGAATTAGGTCTTGCCGCGCCATTTACCTTTAAGTTAGGGTACCAATGTGCAACTGTTAAAGGCGCACTTGATTTTATCAAGTATTGTTCCTACCAGCGGGGGCTAAAGTTTCATTGAGGTCTGTGTGGCACCACCACGCCAAGAATGTTACATTATTAGGATGGTGGGTAGTCTAAAAAGTGTGCCTCACTGGGACGTTAAGTTTGAGGAAGCATTAATTGAGTGGTTTGATGAACTTAAAGAGGCTTAAGTGAGATGAAGACCATCGAGACATTGATTTTTCTCCAAAGAGTAACCACAACTCCGATTCTGAATCTTTTACTTTTAGAAGAGAGAAAATTGAATAATCAATACCAGAAAAGAAAGAGATGTGGTATATGGCAACCATATGTCAATGAAGAAATGACAAAAAACAAAAATCTCATGAATCAAATGTGCACGATCCATGTGCGGCAAATGCAGATCCTATATATTAGCATGAACTGTATTTGAAAAAGTTATGTACATTCAAGGTTTGCAGTTTTGTTGAAAATAATTTATGTTTATTACTTTAGCCAAAGAGTAGATAAGACAAGAGACGACAGTTCGCGCGGTACCTTTCATGTTTGAGTGGTGGGGAGAGTGACCTCGTCTCGCTTGTCCCTTTAAATTTTCGTAATTTTTTCGCGGGAAATTTGAAATAGACTATTATTAAAACTTGCCTGTATAGCTTATGAATAGTTATACTGTATGGGAAAAGAAATAAATAGAAACGAAAAAAAAAAATGAGTTTTCTAAATATTATATAAAATAAATTATAATTAGAAACATATTTGTCGAGGAATAAAGATAATTAAAGCAATATTTTGTATATCGTTGGTAAACAAGATAAAGTGACCAAGTCGATTTGTAAGAAATGTTTTATTTAATTATTTACGTGTATTTTTTTTACATGTGGACTTGAACAAGTGTAATATCACAATGTGGAGTTTATGTACAAAATATAAAAAATTATATTACAAGCTTCTAACCATGTCTTCGATCTTTGGATTACATTTAGTTTAATAACATAATTATATAGTATATTTCTATAAAAATACTTTTCAGGATCCTTTGGAAAAGAGTGAAATATTATGTTTGTCGAAGAATAAGATCTATTTTTGCAGTCTTTATAAGCACACACATTGCCACCATCTCGTCTTTTCCTGCTACTCGTGTGTCCTGTTCAGTATTCATATTTAACAATAATTACAAATTAGTACGCAACAAAAACGATACTATAATTAAACCTTAAAAACTCTTAAAACGATAATATATCGAAAAACTCTGAAAACACACTTTAAAAAGGCAAAAATGCAAGAAAACAACTAATAAGATTTGTTTATGTTTAAGCCTGATTAGCACAGCTGATTAGCGTCCTAAAATCATAGGTTAGAATAAATAAAATTCGCCGTTGTCAGATTTTCAGATTTTATCTGTTTATCTTTGAAATCGATCAACTTAGTTAGTCATGTTTCTTTGATATTATCAGTACATTGCGAAAAAAGAACCTAAACCAACCTAAACTAAAAATTTACATTTCCGTATTAACATACGTTACTTATACCTTCTTATATTAATTTATTTTCAGAAAATCTTGTTTATTTTTCAAAGAAATATACTTGGCAACAGACAAAATGGGACTTGATGGGACCTTTAAATTTTAATATATCTGCGTCTCTCTCGCGAAATTCGACTTCTTTGTTCACTGTCGTCTCTTGTCTTATCTACTCTTTGCTTTAGCTTCACATTTCAGTTGTTTGTACTTTTAATAATACGGTAAAATCATAAAATATATGTTTTTAATTTCTATGGGTTTCTTAGCCAAGTTATATTTCGGTTGTCAAAAATTCCTAAAAAATGCGTTTTACTTTATTTTTGTCTGTTCTTATTAATTTGTTGAGAATTAATGAAATTGTTTGTTCACAAGTTTGAATATATTGTAAACAGTGTTAAAATAACAAGCTTTTTATAAAATCTCTTCATCATGTATTTTAAACTGAAAAAAAATTGGAATCGGTCGGACCCCAGCACGCCATAAGCGTTACAAAAATTCACCGCGCCAGTTGAGGGTTAATACCTGTAAACAATTCTGAAAATCGGTCTTCTAGCATTCTATGATGGCACAGTTCTTGCTGGAAAATGCTTGCTTCCTTTGGTTTGCAGTGCGCGCAAACTGCTTCATTTTCATACCCTTTAGGCAAAACAGATTTACACCCTAAACATGTTTCTTTCTTTTGAGTAAAAGCTGACAAAGCTCCCACTTTTGACGTGACTACTGTTCTTGTTCTAGTATGTTCACCACCTGAAAATTGTGATTCATACCTTATGAACAAGAAAAAAAAACGCGTCGTAGTGGCGTTTCAAATAACTATTAAAATTTAGCATTGATGATAAGAAATATATACAGAGGGTGATCCGAACTGTATTCCTGAAACTTCGGCAGCATATTCTGCAGATAAAAATATGTAAAAATGTTCATATAAATATATGTCCTAAAATGCTTCGGAGATACAGGGTGTAGAAGTTTCATTTTTATTTCGATTTTTTCCAAATAATTTCTGAAATAACCTCAATATATGGATGAAAATTGGTGTCTAGAAGTTTATTGACATAAGAAATTTGATTTTGATGTCAATATGACTCCTACTACTAGAGGGCGCCACCTACATGTGTTTTAACTGTTTTGAAATGTAATAACTTTTTGTTTGTACCTGTATAAAACCACCGAGCGAAAAAATATCTCTTTGTAAAAATCGCTACGAGGAACCGTCCTTAAGATATTTAGAATGGAAATAGACAACACATGTCATTATTGACGAAAAATAAACACGTTGAGTAGATAGTTATTTCACTGAAATAATAAATTTGGGAAATTTTTACTTCTTTAATCATAAATTTTTCTGCAAAAAATGATGATAAAACAGTTTCTCTTGAACTTTTGGCACAAAAACATTTCAAATTTATGATTTCAGTCTAATAACTATTTAGTCCACATGTTTAATTTACGTCAATGATGACAGGTATTGATAATTTCGATTCCAAATATCTCGAAAACCAATTCTCGTAGCGATTTTTTACTAAGAGACCTTTTTCACGTAAAAAACGCCGTAAATGTATATTTTTTTACTCAGTAGTTTTATACAGGTACAGACGAAAAGTTATTACTTTTCAAACCAGTTAGTCATATTGAATAAAATTGATATCAAAATCAAATTTTTCATGTCAAAAAACTACCAGGCACCAATTTTCATCCAAATATTGGATGTTACTTCAGAAATTATTTGGAAAAAATTGAATTAAAAATGAAACTTCTACACCCTGTATCTCCGCAACTAAGCATTTTAGGACATACATTTATACAAACTTTTTTACTTATTTTTATCTGCAGAATATGCTGCCGAAGTTTCCGGAATATAGCTCGGACCACCCTGTATATTATCATAAAAAGTACATATTTTTATCGTAATAGATTTTCAAAGTTCTATTTTTAAAATATTACTTACGCAACAGTATAGACTCGGCATTATCGCCTAATATTGGTTGAAAAATCCTAACTAAAGGTTTGGATAACTGATTTTCTAAATAATAACGTGCGTCGATAGGAATGTTGTTTTCCAGCACATATATTGGATCCTAAAAAAATCATACAAATATGAAAAACGGTTTCAAGAAATTGAAAAAAAAACTGACTTCTGCTTTTTCAAATGCTTTGGCATTTCTATTTCCGGCAGTTATAACGTATGGAATTCTGTCGCCGATTTTAGGAGCGTTTCCTGGGTCTCTCTTCTTCATTTTCTTTGCAAGTTCAACGTGCGCTTGCTTAGCTGCATAATCCTCTTTCGATAATTCTTTTGTGATTACTAATTGTGATATATCAATGTTATTCTGCAGGAGATCCGAAATAACTAATTTTGCATAGTTCACTGCCCCATCTGGATCCCTAAAACGTTGTTTAATATGCATAAATATAAATCCAGCGTTTTCCATATTTTTTCCCAATCTTATCTCAACTTTAAAAAAAAAATCTAATGCCAGGTCCAAACAAGGCGACAAAAAGTAAACACGATTTTGAGACAAAAGTAAGACAAACTTGCGACAAAAAATGGGGAATTTTGACAAGACAAACTTGAGACAAATTGTCCACACCAGAAGGACAAAAGTACAACAAAGTCAAAAGTTCAGTTGTTGCAAATGAGTTTTAGTAACCATGTGTGATTTCACTGGTCTCCTACTGTTGGCAGTACACGCCATCCACATTGCGCCAACTTCTCGTAAAATATATGAACAAAACATAGACACTTTGATCTTTGCCGACTCGAGACGGGACATTGAAAAGTCTCCGAATTTTGAAACAAAACAAAAATGAGACAAAAATGTCGCAGAAATGTATTGGATTTGTCGCAATTTTGTCGTAAAACATGAATATTTCTGTCATGTCGTTGTTTTGTCTGCTTGGTCTGGACCCGGCATAAGATTTCACACTTGAGGTTACTTATGGAACGTATAGGGTGTACAATTTTCGAGCGTTTTATGGGATTTTTCGTTTATGAATAGAGATACAAAGATACAGTTTTAACATTACTGTGCTACTTTTTTATGAAACTAAAGATACTACAAACAGATTTGTCCTAGCCCTCTTAGTTCCTGAAGTACAGGGCGAATTTTAAAATGTTGCAACCCGTCTTCGACCCCATTTGTATTGTAGATACAAACAAAGCAGTTAGTTAAACAAGTTCAACAGAGCCATCGAATGAACGCATTAAACAAGTTGCAACAGGGACACCTTAGACAAGTATTGAGAATCAAATGGTACCATCATGTCTCAAACGTATCGGTCCTTGAAAAAGCTAACTGCGATGCAAGAAAACTGTCTTAAGAAATATGCAAGATGCAAGAAAACCGTCTACCGAGATCTTTTCTTCACAGTGAGCTTGTAGACGGTAAGAGGAAACCGGGTGGACAACTCAAAAGGTTCAAGGATATTTTTAATGAAAATTTAAAGGGAATAAGCATGCAGAATCAGTGGGAGGAAGCAGCAAACAATAGGACGCAATGGAGAAGAATCTAAACTCAGTTAACAACGACAACGAAAAAGTAAAGAAGCAACAAAGTAATGAACTTTTTGAATGCCCGAAGTGCGGAAGAGAGATAACATCACGAAAGAAAACGCCTTGCATAACCTTTCTTGCGTAATCTTCTAATGCGTGTCAAATACTCGTCAGCGAGTAATGGCAGTAAGTAAGTTTTCATCTCAAAGATACATCTTGCTTATGTGAATTGAACTTTACAAAAAATTCAAAAAAAAGTTCAAATAAAGTAAAATACCCGATTATCTATTATATACTCTACCTATCAATCAAGAGCTTCTGTAAACAGGTACCAATTACATCAACTACCAATGTGCAATTATCTCTTCGAACAGTCTCAATTCCTTTACAGTCCATTTTATCATACTTATCTGGCTTAGTGAAATATAAACCGGCATACCTCTTCTTATTAATCAACAAATACGGATAATAAACTTTTTCGAATTCTAATTTGATAGGACTGATAAATTTTGTACTGATCAATTCGGCTGCTTCTTTGCCCAGTTCCATACTTCGTTCTAGCGTTTTTACTTTGAAATTCACCATAACGGAATCTGTATCACCATAAATAACTTTGGCGTCGGTTTCGTAGCCGTTTTGGATGGTGTAGTGCTGTTCCACCTCCTGTTTGGTTTGTTCTATCATAGCACGACCGTAGGCGGTTACACTCTAAAATTAACATTAAGTAATAAATTTAGATTGATAATATATACAGGGCTTAAATGAATATTCAGGTGATTCCTAGTAAAAAAATCAAGGCTAAGGGAAGTTTCGCATAGAATTTTTCGATAAGACGTTTCCTACACGTTTTCCAGTTATTTTGGTTATATAGGGTGACCCCAAAAAATTTATGCGAAAAACGGATTAAATATCATGCAATAATTTGCATATAATAACATGCATGGGCATCTGCATCTGTAAAAACCAATTTTAGCTGTTTTCAATTAAGGAAACAAAGCCATACTTATAAAAAAAAACACAAAAAAGACTGAAAAACAAAAAAAAAACGGTAGATTTGTCTTTTAAAAAAGCCAGTGAATCCACATGAATTTAAAATCAAGGATTTCTTCAAAAACGCGCCATTTACAAGTTACACGCGAGTTTGTAAATGGCGCAGTGACAGAGTTTGTAAATCATACAATGTCATTTACAAACTGTAAATTCCACTTCAAATTTTAAACAAAAAAAAATACGTTGTGAGAGAATTTCTAATAGTATAATAACATATTTTTTAAATGGCTCAGTAACAGAATTTGTAAATGGCACAAGTGACAGCATTTGTAAATAGCGCAGTAATATAATAAGTAAATGGTGGCAAAATTTGTAATAGTATAACATAATTTGCAAATGGCACAGTAATAGAATAAGTAAATGGTGTAGACAAAATTTGCAATAGTATAACATAATTTGTAAATAGCGCAGTAACAAAATTTGTAAATGGCGCAATAACAAAATTTGTAAATGGCGCAATGACAAATTTGTAAATGGCAGTGACAAATTTGTAAATGGCGCAATGACAAATTTGTAAATGGCAGTGACAAATTTGTAAATGGCGCAGTAACAGAATTTGTAAATGACGCAGTAACAGAATTTGTAAATGGCGCAGTAACATCATTTGTAAATGGCGCATTAACAGAATATGTAAATGTTGACATAGAATAAAAAAAATGGCTGTGACAAAACTTACTCCTGATATTTCCAAACACGGCAACTTGCCCACTTGCGCCCCAGTAAATCCATAAACTGAATTAGCGGATATCTTATAAGCCAACTGTCGACCATTTAGCACAGCCTTCAAAACCGGATCTTTGGCATCTTTTAGTAATGCCTTAGTTTTCTTTCTTGCAGCCAGAAGATGCTGTAAAATGTGGGGCAACAGACCTGGACGTACAGAAGACTTGACAAACAAAGAATTTACAGGCGTTGATGTTACCTGATCATTTGTTAACCTAAAAATATCAATGGAATATTTTTTCAAAGAAATAAGTTAATATAAAGACATTGTTCATATTTATACCTATGTCAAATTATTTTCCTAAGAACAGTTCAAATTTAATTTAAGAGAAAAAACTAATACATACCCCAACTTATCCTTCATTATAGTACTTTTAATTAATGTTGTGTAACATAAATTATGCGCTATCATGATACTTGGATACAAAGAACTGAAATCGAGAGTCGCAATAGGATCTGTGTAATAGCCTCGAGCAGGCTCAATTACAGTAGCCCCTTCATACTGTTCTTGGGCTGGTGTCCCTTGATGAGCAGGCATAAAATATCCTGCTTCTCTAGCCTGTAAGAAATATTAGTGCGCCGTTTTTTAATAATATGTAGGACTTACATGTCTTAATAATTGGGCTACAACTTTAACTTGTTCACCCTTTGTTAAAAGACTTGTGATGGGCACACCGGTGACTCTGGCCATTTCTACATCATTTGTGAAGCTTAGGACAGTATTAATGAGTCTTAGGGGTAAATCAGCGTCTTTTAGACAATAGACTGCTAATCTAAAATATACATAAATAAAAATTTCTATTTCTACAGTGACCAGCAAATACTTAGCCACAAGAGATATTTTATTACTAAAAAAAATAATATTTTAAATGTATGCTAATTCTATCAGAGTTTATAAACTTAAAAAATAGTATATTGTCAAAACAAAAAATAGTATATTATCTTATTAGGAGTAAAAATTATACTTTTTGTGGCGAGACTGTACGTTTGACGACATACCGGCGAGGCACAAAAAGTAATTTTTACTCCGAATAGAATATGCTATTTTTTTTCAAACGCCACAAATAATTTTTTAAACAATTTCAAACGTCCCAAATAATATAAAACAATTTAAAATTACGCTCGTTGAATTTGACACTTTATGTCACTTCAATAATATATTTTTGTACTTTTGTGCCTAGGGCTCTAACTCACTGACGACCAGGTCGCAACGACCTGGCCGTCGGCTGGCCGGATGTATTGCGTTTATAGCTGCGGCCAGATGAACAACCAGTTTCAACAGAGTTGTCAGATCTAACGTTTTTTTTACGTTTTACCAATTATGTTTCATTTATGTTCATTTACCAAATATTGTTTCAGAAAGAATTAAGTTTCAGAAATGTTAAAATATCCGAGTTAACTAAAAAGCGAAGTTGCTATTCATGAGCTTATTAAATGTTATAATATTAAATAATGCATTTAAAATATTCTTGAATGGCTCTTATCGACTTTAAAAGTAAACATATTAGGGCCATCGTAAAAAGAGGTCGTCAGACACTGGCTCTAAATATAAGCAGGTAGAAAGTTTAGCTTCCAGTTATTTCAATGTTTACAATATAAATTCCTCTTTTTTATTGTTACTGAGAATCTACAACAGTAAATACTTTTATTTTTATGAATGTTTAAGTTACTTTTACTCTTAATTTTTTTAAAAAATAATGTACCTAGTAGAAATATAGTCTAATGGACCCCGTTTGAAAAACGTGAAATTAAATATAATATTTAAAATACAGTTGTCCTCCTTGTACATGACTACAATACAACTAAAAATAATAATTTAATAAAAAAAAACAAGTGGTTGTAGAAATACTTTAAATATGATTTTTTTATTTTTTAACATCGAAACTCGAAGGTATAATAACAGGTATCATACCAAACCAAACCAAACCATATATAGAGTATGTCATATAAAAATATTTTGAACTTTTACTACAATCGACTTTTGATAAAAAAGGGGACTAGATTTAAGTTTCCCTTTGATCCAGTCTGTATACTATTTCTTTGGATTTTCTGCACGTGTGCAAAAACTACACTAAAACACTATATCTTAAAGAAAAGAAAATATTCTGCGTTGAATTTGAGGGATTTCATCTGAAAAATTATTAATTTAGAAGAAAACCGGCAACAAGCGGCAGAAAATTATAATATTTTAGTGTAGTCTGGTGGATAGAAAGTCTACTGGTCGCAACGACCAACGGACGGCCAGGACGTTAGTGTGCGCGGTATCATTTGATTTAATGGTTTTAGAGGTAGCAGCGGCCCGGCCGGTGCGACCTGGTCGTCAGTGTGTTCGAGCCCTTAGGAGTAAAAGTGCTTAACTTTTATGCCGTTTATCTTAGGTGTTAAAGTGCTTAACTCTTATCTCGTTTTTTCAGATAAAAAAAAATAACATAGATTAGTATGGATTGACGTATTCAATTGTTTCCTATTTCACCGGAAATTACTACAACAAATTTAAAATGGCACCCTCGGTATATTTTTACCTTATTCTATAGACAATGAGACTTTGAATAGAATATCATATCATATATTTTGACATTTACAAAAAATAAAAAAGGTATAGAGGTGAGCCACTTTTGAGACTATCCGGTATATGTATTTCCCGGGCTAAAATTTTAATTTATTTCGTAAAAATGACATATACACAAAAGGAGGACAGACGATTGTCAGTGTAAAAAATAAAGACAATCAGATAGTCGAATGCTTAGAGAGTAAGATCGAATGTTGCTGACGTATGTATCCTTCAACAAAAATGAAGCGAATTTACTTATCAACGAAGTTTATAAGATCTAAAGTTCGATCCCACAGAAATAATCAATTTTTCACACCATATTTTTTTACCACAGGATGCTTTTAAAACTAAAATCAGTTATAACTTACCTTCTCCTTGTTTGTTCATCTCCATTTTGCAGATCAGTAATAATACTATAATGAACATCTTCCTTTTGTTCACCCAAGATTTCTTGGCACACACTGTTTAGCGTGTAAGATCTAAGCTTAAAATCTCTTTTTATTACCAACAGCATGTCATAAGGTACGCGCCCTTCAAAATTAATCGTTTTGTACATTCTCTTACCTATTTTGGTCTGAGTAGTTGTTTCTTTGATTTGGGATCTGTTAAATAATTTATTATTAAGTCAGAAACTTTAAAAACGAAATGTTTTTTAAGAGAAATAAGTAAACATAGAACTGAACATACATAATATAGAAATCAATGATCGTCGTTTGTTTTACTGAGCCAACTGATTCCGTTTTTTCGACTGTACAGTGTAAATAAGCAATGGTCTATATAGTTAATTTAAAATAACATAATTTTTAATTAAAATAACATAATTTTAAATAAAACTTTCTCCATTCAGGCAACATTGTCTAGTTTTAATCATGGACTAATAATATTAATTACTATACAGTGTGTTTCTAAAATAAGTTTGAATATTTTCTGGAGCGATAGATCTCAATAAAAAAGTCTGTGTGTAAGTCTCCTAGAATAAAAAACTTGCGAATTTTGTTAAAGTGCAAACTTAAAGTATGTACGGGGATATATTTCATGAAAATATTTTAACTTCTATAGGTTGGCTCAAAAAAGTGTAGTGGATCGGGATGATTTTTTTAAATGGAACACCCTGTCTATTATTGCATTTTTCCTTTCTAATTTTTTTCCATTTGTAATATAATTTTGATTTCAGGACAGTTCTCGTATTTGTAGTAATATTTTTAAGGTTGAAAAATATATATTTTTTATTTATTTATTAATATTTTTGAAACTATCGAAATATATTTACTCATATTTTAGGATTATGTAAAGTGATCTGAAAGGAAGCCAAAAATGCAATAATATACATAATGTTTCATTTTAAAAAAATCATCCCAATCCACTCACACTTTTTTGAACCACTCTATAAAAGTTAAATTATTTTCCTGAAATACATCCTACTACACAGTGGCGGATACAGAGGGGGGGCCATGGGGCCAAGCTCCCCCCCTAAAATATGTAAATTGGTTTAAATATTAGGCTTTTGGGTTAAAAATGGCGGTTTAAAAAGCATATCCTACGTTACTTTTTATTTAGACCCCCCCTAAAATAAATTCCTGTATCCGCCCCTGCTACTACATACTTTAGGTTTGCACTTTTCTGGAGCTATTATTCCGACACACTATTGCCGGGGTCTATATAAGATAAAATTGTGTCCAACTGATATTTTTCTAAAATATGACAATATGGATAAATATAAACAAAGACGCGACCGTTGTATGTGCAATAATTGTGTTCAAACTCTTCTTAGTTTATTTATTTCGTGGATTTTTTTTATTTGTACCTAACATTCAATAACCGGCCCAAGAAATCAAAGTTCTGAACTTTTAAATGTTTGGCCCTCTCTAACAAATAAGGGAAATCAAAATTATTTATATTGTATCCCGTGAATATATCTGGATCCAGTTCCCTTACAAATTGAGCCCAGGCTTCCAACATCTTGGACTCATCTTCGTAACAATATACCTGTTAAAAAAATTAGTTACATTTTTTTTCTTAATTAAAAATATTTTAAAAATACCTCCGCGTGACCTATAGGGGCACAAGATTTTAAACAAAATATATTTCTCGCCATTACTTCTTTGACACCGTGTAGCTGTATAACGTTTGCTATCTGAATGATTGGATCTATTTTTGGTTCGGGAAATATTCCTGTAAATTAAAATTAAATATACAGGGCGTGTCAAAAATAATGGATATGGCCAGCGGCGTAGCTTGGCGTCAATACAAGGGGATGTAATAAGCAACTGCAATTAACATTTTACCAACACAATGAAGTCTTTTTTTTATTAAAAGCTTTAAAAGCTTTATATTGCGTACAGATGAACGACCAGTTTTAGCAGGGCTGTCAGATCTAACGATTTTTTACGTTTTACCAATAAGATTTGGTGGATTGATTTTTACCAAATATTGTTTTCAGAAATGTTAAAATATTCGAGTTAACTAAAAAGCAAAGTTCCTATTCATGAGCTTATTAAATGTTCTAATATTAAATAATGCATTTAAAATATTAATGGCAATTACAGTAGGGTAATTAGTATAGTTTTCACACATTGTATAGGAAAAAAAGATTACGCAGGGTAGATCAAAAAGAAACTTTAAATATGATTTTTTTATTCTCTACCATCGAAACTCGAAGGTATAATAACAGATACCTATCATATCAATAGAGTATATCATATAAAAATGTTTTGAATTTTTACTAGAATCGACCCTTGATAAAAAAGACTAGATTTAAGTTTCCCTTTGATCTAGTCTGTATACTAATTCTTTGGTTTTTCTGCACGTGTGTAAAAACTACACTAAAACACTATATCTTACAGAAAATTTTGCGTTGGATTTGAGGGATTTCATCTGAAAAATTATTAATTTGGAAGAAAAGCGGCAACAAGCGGCAGAAAATATTTTAGTGCAGTCTACTGGTCGCTGCGACCAGCCAACGGCCAGGTCGTTAGTGCGCGTTGTATCATTTGATTTAATGGTATTACAGGCAACAGCGACCTGGTCGTCAGTGCGTTAGAGTCCTGATTTTGAAATTACAAAAGTAAAATATACAAAAAATAATGAGGTTAAAAAAATAATCAAACCAATTTAAAAAAAGGACATTTCGGTAGAAAACAGAAAACTGTGAAGATAAAATAGTAGACAAGACCAACAAAATAACAACTACATAACCAGTGTCCACTTTTATAAACATTTTATACAGTAATATACAGTAATTTCCAAAAATGTTATTATTTTACCTTTTCTTCCGGCACATTCAATATCGAAACTATGGATCCTAAATTGAGCGACATCACCCCACTCTCCTTCAGGAGCATGTGAAATAAAATTATCCCATGCAACGTCCACTTCGATTTGACATCTACTTGTTTTGCTATGCGCTGAGAAATCTGTTCTTTCGTACCATGTCTTTGGTGGCAATTCTATCCAACAGCAACCCAGTATATTTGTGTCTACCATAAATCTATCAATTCAGACTATTAGAAACCGTTTATAAAGCCACGCCTAGACATAACATTTTACCTGTCAGGTTCAAATCAAATCAAATCAAATTTATTATTATGTTAATATACACAGCAGCATTTAAAATCGTCAATAACTAAGGTTAAGTTTTCTTCTACAAGGAAGTTTTTTGCTTCTACACAGTCTTTTACTTCATAAGTTTTGACTGAATAGGTAAAATGTTATGTGTAGCGGAGACTTTTAAATCATTAATTTTTTTAAATTACCTTGTTTCTATATCTACATTACTTTCGAAAAACTGAAAATTGTGGTTGCTGAGTGACTGATATATAATCTGCGTGCTTAAAAGTCTTTTTGCAGCAGGAACAAATTTGTGCTGGGACAAAGTAATTTTTGCAAAAGGCTCGTCATCGTCGCCATGATATTCAACTAAATTTTTGCCTTTAATTATTTCCACTATTAAAACAGCATCAGTAATTCCGTCTCGATTACCACCTCTAATATCATTTATTAAAGCTTCATTAAGTTTATCCTAAAGAAGTACATATTCTCAAATCTTACGATACTAAAACAATTAAAAACTACCTTAAACGGTCCTAAGTCACCGTTCGAAAATGTGGTAGGTAGATTTATGTAGAAATATGGGGAAAATCCATGTACATGGCAACAGACACTATTACCTTCTTTAGTTATGCCAAACATTCGAATAATTGGAACCTAAATATATATGTTTTACTAAAACTAACAGATTGGAGAATTTTTAACAAACCGGTCCACTTTGCGGTCCGGGCATTCCAGGGTACACATTTCCAACATAATTATCTAATTCCAATTCTTGAAAAATAAATGTGTCTTTAGCCGGATCTATATGCAGAATGGGGGGCCTCTGATACAGTACCGTAGTACCATTTGGTCTGAAAATGTTTATATTATCTTATGTAAATATGATTTATTTCATTCTTTACTTGTATTTCTTAAAATGTCCCGTATATTCATCTGATTTTCTTTTATTCATTTTGAAAAATCAGTTGATGTTTGAAGAAGCTACTATAACAAATGAAAACAAAACAGAAAAACCCGGGAAATATTTGAGGTTATTGGTTAATTTTCTTCGTCGAGAAATAAGAGACCGGAGGCGCCAGCAGCTGCTAGCAGAGAAAATCAGCCATATTGGAAAATACGTTTGCGCCATTTGTGCAACTTTCCCAACATTAATACCTATTTTTCATCGATAATTTGAGTGTTTTCTGTTAAATAAACATAAAAACCATGGTGTCGTGTGCTGTACACAGTTGTTGTAGCAGGAAAGGTGTCGATTCAAAGAAACCCACCGGAGTAACAAGTTATATTCCACAGGTAATGTGAACAAGGGAAAGGTCCGTAACGCAGCTACTACAAAATTATATACAATAAATTAAAAATTAGGTTACGCAATTACGAAGCATAAGTTTACTACAGCTTAACGAATATACATTTAATGGATTAATATTACATTACCTCAAGGCAAATTTTAATCATTGTTTGCTGTTTATTTGAAGTTTTACCTAATCCGGTCCTGTTCAATTAGTACACTTTTAACCCGCCTCCAGGTTCTTTTTAATTCTAACCTTTGTCTATAATCAAGGTTCTAACAGTCGCGTCTACTCTCTCTTATTCCTACCTTTTCTTTTTTTTTCTTTTAAAATAAATTCCGATTAAAATCTTCTTGACATTTAGGTGAATGCAAGAATGTTTATATTCGAATTCAAATAATTATTTATTGTAGGACAGATAATGGAGCAAAAAAAACTCTTCTTTTTTTTGTTTTTTTTTTAATTCTAATTCTAATAATGTTGACATATATAACAAACCCAAACAATAATAATGTTTTATACTTTTATTAGTAGGTATATGTTAAAATAAAGACAAGTAACGAGAAAAAATCTTATACAGGGTATTGTTTAAAAAGTCTTTATATTTTATTAATTTATTGTAGGTATAATATATCGATTTCACGAACAGGCGAATGGAGTTTTTTCTACGAAAAAAATAAATACCCACGACGAATTAAGAGACCTAGAATTAAGAAGACCGAACCTGAGATGGGACCATGATATTAGGAAATTAGCAGGGATAACTTGGGCCCGCATAGCCAACAATAGACATATTGTGGCTATCATCATCATTATTCTCAGCTTATTCAACCATTGGAAATGGTTGAATAAGCTGAGAATAATGATGATAATGACTTTCTTGTTATAATGAAGTTATATAGGTATAGGTAGTGGATTTACTTTAGTACAAGGGAAAAGAGAAGAATTATACTACAACCCTTAAAATATGTATTTTTTGTTTTTAAACTTAATTAAGTAGGTATTTGTAAAAAATTTGCGTTTAATCAATAAACGGAGCTTAAACTGTATAGGGTGGCGCCCAGTGGCGCCTCTCATACGCCGCGGAAGATCCAAGGAGAACGGTAGTTTATATCGAAATGAAATTTTGGCCGCATATGTAGGTTAACTGAATGCATTTTATAAAAAATTTGTAGAATTATACAGAGTGTCCCCAAAAAAAGTTACAAATCAAAGTTGTGTGTTTTCTAATGGAACACCCTATATATTAATTGATTTTCAGATTCTAGGAAAAAAATAAAGGTGAGTTTTATTAAAGAAGCATATACCTAAAATCTAAGGATTTTGACATATTTCATATTTTGTGAAAATGAAGAGTAAATTTTAAATTTCGATAACAGCTACTTAACTTTTCGTTGACCTTGTATAGCCTGATATTTAATTACACTTAAACCAAATTGAAATTTGATCCGAAAAGTTATACAGGGTGAAACAAAATTAATATGGAACATTTAGTCACTTTTAAAAGCAAGTTACTCCTTTATTTTAAATGGAACACCCAGTATATTTTTCCGGTGTTTAATAGGGAATTTATATACCTTCAAATTATTATTAAGGTTGCCTACCCCTCAGACATAGATTTACCGAAATATTTTAATTTTTATGATTTTGCGTCAATAAATCTTTATTTTTTGAAAAAATCTAGGTTGCTGTATGATATACCTTTTGTTAATTTAACAAAAATTAAAGATTGTAGAGTAAAATACTTAAGGGTAATAAAAATATACACGTTTAAAACATATTTTAATTATTACAGAATTAAAACTAGATATGAACCTATAATTATGCGACAAAAATTAGCTAGTTGAAATCGGAATATAATAATGTATAAAATAATTGTTTTTTCAAAAGGATCTTTTCATTATAAAAAGCATATGTGGAGTTCTACATCGAAAAGCAGCTACAATAATTTCTCTCATGTTGTCGACACTAGTTGGTCGAGTTTTGTAAACACAAATATATCCCCAAAAAAAAACAGACTAGATAAAATCAGGAGCATCTAAGTATTCTATTAATTATTGGTGAATGCACAGTGCATTCACCAACTAATGGAATCATATCAATTCTCTCTGATGTAGGATAAGTTTGCATTTTCGGCAAATTTCTGAGATTTTTTTTTTGTTTTAACTGACACAAAATGATAACCTTAATACTAGTGGTTAAAGTTGGACTAATTCGACTATGTTGAAGTAACGTCAGACATATCACAGCCACCTAAATTTTATCGAATAATAAAGATCTACTCAGATCAAATCATCTAAATAAAAATATCTAGGAAAATCTTTGTTTGAGAGGTAGGCAACCTTAATAGTATTTTGACCAGACATGAATTTTCCATTGAATATCGAAATAATATACTGGGTGTTCCATTTAAAATAAGAGAGTAACATATTTTAAAGATAACCAATGTTCAATATTAATTTTGTCTCACCCTGTATACCTTTTTGGATCAAGTTTTAATTTGATTTAAAGTACAATAGTTAATTTAACTATATATTAGGCTATACCATGTAAATTCCAATTTAGGTAGCTTTTATTGTATATTTAAAAATTGTTCTTTATTTCTAGAAAATTTTAAATATGTTAAAAACCTTACATTACTTCATATACTTTTCTTATAAAACTCACCTTTATTTTTCCCCCAGAATCCGAAAATCAATTAATATATAGGGTGTTCCATTACAAAAAACACAACTTTAATATGTAACTTTTTTTTTGGGGCACCCTGTAGAACTCTCTATATTTTTAAAAAGTGCCTTGCATTAATCTACATATGCTCACAAAATTTCATTTCAGTAGAAACTGTCGTTCTCCTTGGAGCCTCCGTGGCCTATGAGAGGCGCCACCCTGTATAGGCTTAATTGGTGCATTTCAGTTGATTTCAACAAATTCATGTCATGTTGATTGCATTAAAATAATATTCCAAGAGTGGTTTTGTCATAATACCTATTTAAGTATTTTAGTTTTTTTGCTAGTGCAGTTACTGATACTTAAGACACTCAAGTACGAGGTTTGTGTGATGTAACGCTGTTTCTGGTAGTAAAAAATAAGTGAAAAAGAATTCGAACTAGGCGTCGTGTTGTGTTGTGACAATTTCATTTCAAATGTCAATACAATTGCCGAAAAAATGCTAACGCGTAAAGGAGACCGTAATTAGGGCGTTGTTGAGTGCAATAACATTGATGCAATAACTCAACTTTCCCGGCGGATATTCAACTCTCCCCATACTCTCCCGAAACAACATTTTGTAGCTTTATAGTTTCTCACACCGCACCGATTTGATCAAAAGCAAAAATGGATTCAAGCAGTTCGACGAAACAAGTAGGTAAACAAAGTGCTCGTTACGTAATCAAAAAATTAAATAGACATAATTTACTATGAGAGGATAAAATATAATTTGCAATATTAATGGTATACTTTTTTAATCAACTAGTGATTAAATGTTTTATGAACATCTTCTGAAATTATAATAATGTACTTTTAAAAATTTTCGTTATAGCCGAAATAGCCCCAATTATGCCCCACTAGCAAAACCGGTGATTAAAATTATACTCGCTACCGTAGTAGATATAATCTAAAAAGTTTTTTAACTGGAATAATAAATTATAATACAAGTTAGACCTTCTGAAGATATCAAAATAGGTATTTACTTTTTTATTTTTATTTTTAGAATTTTCACAAATTATACTTCCTAACACTTTTAGAATCTATACTAATATATAAAATCCTTAAGTGACTGACATACTGATTAATCACGATCCTGCTCAAACCACTCAACGTAAGAAGCTCAATTTTGGCATACAGGTTGATTCTAGGGTGTAGAGGTTCGATAAGAAGGGATTTTTCGAAATTCCAGTTCCAAGAGGGCGAAACCGCCCCTCAAATATTACAATATTTTTTATTTTAAAAACGGTCAAGTTTCCGAAAAAACGCTTAAACACGTATATTTTATTTTGTTTTTTTACATATTTTAAGATTTTTTAAAAATGTATACAGGGTGTTTCGAAAAATATGGTCATTGATTAATCACGATCTTGCTTAAAGCGCTTGACGTAAAAAGCTGATTTTTCGAAAACGGATTAACTTTAGGGTGTAGAGGTTCGATAAGAAGGGATTTTTCAAAACTCGAATTCTAAGGGGGTGAAACTATCCCTCAAATATTAAAATATTTTTTATTTAAAAACCGGTGAGTTTTTCGGAAAAACTCTTAAACACGTATATGTTATTTTGTTGTTTTACATATTTTAAGATTTTTTATAAATTTATACAGAGTGTTTCATAAAATATGACCATTGAGTAATCACGATTCTGCTTAAACTGCTTGACGTTTAAAGCTGATTTTTGGTAAACGGATTTACTGTGGGGTGTAGAGGTTCGACAAGGAGGGGTTTCTCGCATCTCAAATTCCAAGAGGGTGAAAACGCCCCTCAAATATTACAATATTTGTTATTTAAAAAACGGGTAGTCTTTCGGGAAAACGCTTGGATAAGCATAATATATTTGTTTTTTTTTACATATTTTGAAATTTTTTAAAAAATCATACAGGGTGTTCCAAAAAGTCGGGTAATTGATTAACCACGATTCTGCTTAAACTGCTTGACGTAAAAAGCTTATTTTTGGCAAACGGATTTTTCGAAAGTCAAATTCCAACGAGATGAAACTACCCCTCAAATATTACCAAGTTATATAACAATATCGCCATATTGTTTTTTCTCATGCTGACATAAATGTGAGAAAATTTTATCCAGTTTGTATGTTAATGGAAAGTCTTGCTTTGTTTTATCATAACCATTACAAATGACTAATTCGACGCGAACGAAGTCGCTGGTACACGCTAGTAATTAAATAAACTTTCTAAAATTGAGGTATTCAACACTTCAAACTGTAAATAAAAAAATATAGACTAAAAATATTTACATCTCAATTATAGACAAACAACTTTTTGTACATGTTTAAGAGAAAACAGTCGACCGAGCCTTCCTCATCCAGCCTATGTTGTCACGTCTTTAATATTATCAATATTTTTTTCTTGTTATACACATATATTGAGATATTAATACTACAGTTTAATAAAGTAGGTTTTAATATTCCATAGATGTATTAAATAGTCCTTATTCTACTAAATTATAAGTCGGATACTGTTTAATAAGGATAAGTTCTTTACAATATGACAACACCGATTAGAGGCGAGGGAGCCTATTCATTCATTTATTACCTTGTAGTACGTGTCGCACGTGTGCGGTAAAGCTTTGTTGCCGCTATCTCCGCGGCTGTATTAACGCATTTTCTTAGCTTGTAGTCCTTAATTGTTTATTTTATTGACTTTTTCTGTTCAAAAACTATAAAATATGGTTCGCCAGTGCCAAATTTGCAAGAAATTTGACTTTAATAATCCATTTAAGTCTTGAAACGACTTTTGACCGGTAGGCAACTCTCAATTTACCCATTGGGAGTCAGTGGCGTTGTTGTAGAAAGGCGCTTATTTAGATAATATTTTAGTAAAATGTAAAATCTGATTTTTTTCTCTTACATTACATTATTTACTTACTTACATTGTAACAAAATCATAATTATAACCCTGTTAATAATAAATAATGTTTTTATTAAAAATATATTCCGGTTTATTCTAAAATTATCTTCAGAATCTAAAATAACATACAAGAATTTTAAAATGATATTACATTATGAAACAATATTTTTTAATATACCGGGTGTCTCAAAAGTGGTTCACCCTATAACTTTTTTATTTTTCAGATAAAAAAACAGATTTGTATGTTAGTAGGTATATGACATAAATTAGATTTATTGACGTATTCAATTGTTTTTGGTCTCTTCCTGTTTCACCGAAATGATTACATCTTTTGATTTTTAAAGGCACCCTCGGTATATTGCTACTTTATTCGATAAAAAATGACACTCTTAATAGAATGACATATCATATGTCAACTTTTGACATTGTCGCTTAAAAACATATCCTATTTTAAATTTCAATCCAGTTTTTTCAATCCACTAAGTTTTTAATCAAGGAGCCTTGGAAAAATAGTTTTGATCGTCTAATAGGTTTCGTGTCTTGTCTAGGCCGGTTAAAAGATGTACAAATCGTATTTTTAATCATACATATGTCAATTTTTTCAAATGGAACAAGGGTGACTCATTAGCATATTTGGAAAAAGCATTTTTTTATGAATATATTGATACCACACACTTGGTATTTCGAGTCAAATTGTCGTTATGAACCGCGTGTTACAATTACAATTAAACCATATGCGAAAATGTCAAAAGTTGACATATGATATTTCATTCTATTCAGAGTGTCATTTTCTATCGAATAAAGTAGAAATATACCGAGGGTGCCGTTTAAAAATTAAAAGTTATAGTCATTTCCGGTGACACAGGAAGTGACCAAAAACAATTGAATGCGTCAATCAATCCTAATTTATTTCATATACTAACATACTAAATCTTGTTTTTTTATTTGAAAATATAAAAAAATTATGGGGATGAGCCACTTTTGAGCCGCACCCGGTATAATAAAGACAGTACCGAGTTAAATAAATGTAGTTTTTATTTTATCCACTTCCTATCACCTTCCTTGCTTTAATGGAACAGATTTATGTTTTCTCTAATTTACATAATAAGACATCACTTAACTAGAAAAAAAATTACAACAATCATTTTTTTTTCTCTCCCTGTCGCCGATTCTATTATATCTGTGGAATAGATCCGGTTTTGATTAATATTAGGGGTTGTAAATGTTTGACTAAAATTAATAATTTATTATTAATTTCAAAAATTACGTAATTTCGATTATAAAATTTCTTCTATAACGTGTATTTTATTATGTTTATCCTTTTCGGACTCTAAGACGTTTTTTCTAAACTTTTATGTAAAAAACCTGTCCTAAATCTTAATAAAATATAAAAACGTTTAAATACGATATATTTTTAATTTACTTATAGCTTCATTAAAATAAAAAAATTACCCGGCTATGATACGGAGAGTTCAGGTGTACTTGAGAAACGAAAGAAGTGTTGTGTTTCTCGGCAGAGTCGTCAGGGAACGACCGTTACGACAGAGACAACCTATCTATCGCTCGTGTCGCACTCGTTATAACCTAAAACAATAACACAACAATAACAAGACAGTGTCTGACCGCATGTTCCAGCTATTTATGAATGAGATGCTCAGTCTATATTTTATTTTAAGTCTATGTATTCAACACTTCAAAATGTAGTTAAAATAAATTTAAAATAAAAATATTTCTAGAATTATAGTTACTTATTAAATTAAAGAGAAAAATCTGGTGACGTCATAACTCTTGTATTCGGCAAACGAAGTAGCAAATGGGGTAAAAACTGCCGACTCGGCATTTGTTAAAGACTCCTCGCCTACTTGATCTCATAACTAGGGCGCGACCATTGGAGTACCCCCTTGAAGAACAAACCTTGCGGTGTTCACGGTAGCTTATAAAAAGGACAAAGGCTGTTAGATTTTTTTTAGTTTCTTTATTATTCTCACACGACCAACGTAACATATATGTACATACCTGTTCATGTAGTGTAAAGAATTGAAAAAAAGCTTTAAAATACGTATTTTCGTAGTGTCATACTGAAGTTAACAAAAAGAAAATGTTTAAAACTCTATTGCCTATAATTATTTTTGAAGAAATAAATATAGAAGGTGTTTTCTAAATAAGGTAAAACTTTTTTTATATTAACTAATGACTTGATCTTTGAAATAATATAAAACAGTATCTTCAAGATATTTGAGGATTTAAAGATTTAAAGTTTATTCACAGTATCTGTGAAATTTATATTTTTGACAATAGGATCTGAATTTATGTAAATAACTACTATTTAAATAGTCAACATTTGGTTAAGAGTTAATGCCCAAATTTCCAAATACCTGTGTCTAAATGTTTTTTTTTAATTAGTATGTAAAGTATATGTTTAAGTATTATAGGTACCGGATGCGTCTCAAAATAAGTAGCTCACCTCTATAACTTTTTTATTTTTTCAGATAAAAAAACGAGATTTGGTATGTTAGTATATAATGTAAATTAGGATTGAATGACGTATTCAATTGTTTTTGGTTACTTCCTGTTTCACTGGAAACGACTACAACTATTGATTTTTAAATGGCACCCTCGGTATTTTTTCTTACTTTATTTGATAGAAAATGGCACTGAATTGAATGACATATCATATTTCAACTTTTGACATTTTCGCTTTAAAAAAAATCGTATTTTAAATTTCAATCTAGAGTGCCATCGCTGTGATTGAGGCTCCTTGATTAAAAACACTAATTTTTAATCAAGGAGCCTTGGAATAATAGATTTGATCGTCTAATGTTTTTAGCGTCTTGTTCTGGCCGATTAAAAGATGCCCAAGTCGTATTTTTAATCATATCTCATTTTTTTCAAATGGAACGAGGGTAGCTCATTAGCACTTTTGGAAAAAAAACATTTTTTTACGAATAATTTGGTACCACACCACTTGGTATTTCGCGTCAAATTGTCGTTATGAACCGCATGTTACAATTTCAATTAAACCATAAGAGAAAATGTCAAAAGTTTGCATCTGCTATGCCATTCTATTATTATATTGAGAGTGTCATTTTCTGTCGAATAAAGTAAAAAAAATTTGGAGGGTGCCATTTAAAAATTAAAAGTTGTAGATATTTCCGGTGAAACAGGAAGTGATAAAAAACAATTGAATACATCAATCAGTCCCAATTTATGTCATATAATAACATACCAAATCTCGTTTCTTTATGTAACAAAATAAAAAAGTTAAAGGGGTGAACCCCTTTTAAAAACCCGGTATATAAAAAAATAAAAAAATAATAAAAAAAATTATTAAAAAAAAATATAAAAAAAAATAAATATAAAAAAAATAAAAAAATAAAATAAAATAAAAATAAATATAAATTTTACACATTAACATCCCGTATTATAATGCTTTTAATTGTGTTTCTACAAATTACAGGCACTGACTATTACCCATGAATTGTGTCTTTATAAATCAACGTTGCTTATAAAAATGGTTTTTGAACATCCATACCAGAGAAGTTTTTGCGTATTGTTCATTTCCTTGGCCATCATTGTCTACTTCACCGAGCTAAAACAAGAAAAAAAACGTAACAATGATAGCACAGCTTTCAAACAGAACGAGGATTTTAGTGCAACTACAAACATAATCCCTTCAGTTGTAGACAATCGGGAAAACTTTGCGGAAAACTCTTCGGGCTTTATTTTTAATACGTTGAGTTTTCTCGACGATTCCTTTGATTTAGGTAATTTAAAAATCGATAGTTGGCCAAATGAAGAGACAGCTGGTTTGGTTTATATATTGGGTAAGTCGTATTCTTTTAAAGGAAATGTAATTTTAGCGTTTCAAGGTTCTTTTTACTACTTGACACTATTTTTTCAATTATCTTTTTGTTTCTCAAAGAAAAAGAACAAAATGTAAATTACACAATTTTTTTATATACAGGGTGTTTCAAAAAACATGTGCCATCTCTCGTGAGGATATTTCTCACGTAAAAATAAGACTTATTTTTCATATCAACATATAGGTCCGATTCTGCTTTGTTTTGTAGCTAGAGGGTGTTTTTAATGCTAAAAAGTGTCGATAAATTATATCGAGTTATAACAGGAACATTTTTTCAAAAAAAACGTGCGCCACTGACTTTTTTCTTTTGATATCAAATTATATAGGCCGTTTAATGCCAATTAAAAGTTACCTTTTGATATTTCGTTGAATTCGGCCTCCTTGTTGAGATAAACGCAATTTTATTAATCAGAATTAATAAAATTAAAATAAAAATGATATATTTTACCTAATTTTTTATTAAATATTAATACTGTTAGTTATTATTACTATAAGTCCAACCTAGAGCAATTTCGAATAAAAAAATAATGGGTACTTAAAATAATTACAAAAAAAACAATTTTAGAAAATTTTAACATCTTATAACTCTAAAACTGTGCATTTCCATACCCTTGTTTATAGGAACTTTTTTTCATATTTTTTGATAAGGAATCAATGAGTATTTATTTAAAACTTCCGCAAGTTAATGATACTAAATTTTTTTAAAGGTTGCTCTATTAGACTGGGATCAAGGCAAATTAATAAAATCGTGTTTATCTCATAAAGGAGGCCGAAATCGACAAAATATCAAGAGACAACTTTTAATAGGCATTAAACAGCTTACAACATTTACCTAACAAGTGAAAAAAAAAGTCAGTGGCGTACATGATATTTTTAGAAAAATATTCCAGTGATAACCCATATGCACGTCCCTGGTGAATATGTCGACACTTTTTTAGCTTTAAAATATGTCGCATTTATAGTAATTTTTACCCTCAAAATTTCATTTGAAACGCTAAAAGTACTTGGAAGAAAATTGTAATAAATCGAAAAAATTATATTAAGACTTAACACCCGTAGCTACGAAACTAAGCAGAATTGGACCTATGTTCATATAAAAAGTAAATCTAATTTATTCCTGAGGAATCTCCCCACGAGAGATGGCACATGTTTTTTGAAACACCCTGTATATTAATATAACATAAAACGAGATGTATAATTAACGAAATATCATCGTTACAACAGCTATTTTAGAAACGTCTAGGTTTACTTGTTTCACTGAGATTTATGAAAAAAAATCCTTTGCCACCGGTACAGATACCGCCACGTTTTGGAAATAGCTCAAAACAACAAAATTGAACGAGGCAACAAAAAAAACAATGCAAATTGCAAAATTAATGCAATCAACATGAACTGCAACCGAGATGGCGTGAAATACAGAGCTTCTGATTCGATCGCTGCGATCAGAATTTTTTGAACTCATCTAAAATGCACCAAGCCTGTAGTGTATTATTTTGCCGTTGTAACACCAAACGTTTCAACTCATTAACTGTAATATTTGTAAATTAGATATTATAAAAACATTAATTTGCGGTGTATAAACAAAACACTCGTTTTTGAGAGGGTTCTGAGAGGGTGACTTTCGTTTCAGGACTTTTCGAGTTAACAAGCGACGAGGGGAGGACGCCAAGAGGCGAAACCGAATTAATGGCGGCCAAAATGGCAGTAAAACACGTGAACGCTCTTAATGTTTTGCCCGGGTACAAGCTACAGCTGCTGGTTAACGATACAAAGGTAATTAGTGCTAAGTAATTGCTCTAAGACGGCACCGTAGTAAATTTAATTTTTGATACAGGCGTCCCACAAATAGAGTTTTGAATGTAAAGTGAGGCAAAAAGGAGAAACCTAGCGTTACAGGATGTTTAAAAAAACATGTGCCATCTCTCGTTGGGAGATTCCTTAAGTAAAAATAAAATTTATTTTTTATATCATAATAGGTCCGATTCTGCTTTGTTTCGTAGCTACAGGGGATTGTAGTCTTAATTTTTTTCGATTTATTATAATTTTCTTCCAAGTGGTTTTAGCGATTCGAGTGAAATTTTGTTTCGTCTTTTTCTTTTATTCTTTGTTTTTATTTTCTGTCTCTGTCTCTTGATATTTTGTCGTTTTCGGTCTCCTATACAGGGTGAGTCTTAAAAAAGTGCAAATATTTTAGGGGTGCTATATTTCGACCCCAGAAACATGATTGTGAGTTTTTTTGAATTTTTTTTAGTTTTTAGTTAAAAAATATATTTTTTTGTAATATGGCAACACAGATAGTAGATTATATTTACAAGAAAGAAAGCCCAGAAAAGATCCAGTGGTTGGTTCTCAAAATTTAAACGAAAAATATTTCGTTTCTGAATTTTCAAAGTTAAATAGTTTATTTTGGACTTATTTGAAAAACGGTAATGAGAAAATATGTTTCTTTTATTGAGATCTACCACCCCTCAAATTATTTGCACTTATTTAAGACGCACCCTGTATAAATATCTATACAGGGTGTCCCAGAAATAGGTGCAAGTATTTTAACTGGTAGTACCACAACCCATAGAGGAATATAAAATCGAGAGGTGTCTCACTCGGGTAAAAAATGTACACGTACTGCCAAAATATCCTTCCATTGCCAAGCGACTGCCAATGACTACGAAGAAGACTGCCTATGACTGCCATGTAATTATTATAGACGACTGCCATAAGACTGCCAATGATTGCCAGCGACTGCCAAGAAAATGTACATGTAATTCCAGTAGTGAGACACCCCTCGTATAAAATAAAAGAGTTGTCATTTCCATAGTCAAAAGTAGGCAACACGTTTAACGAGGATCGATTATAGCGCACCCTTGAGTCCTAACTGAACTAATGGAAATATGACAGACGTAATCGGTAAAACAGGCATTACCTACCACAAAAAAGGCGGGCAGTTTAAATGTGAATATCAAATTTTATGTTTTTAAAATTATTACTAAATCAAAACTGCAAAAAAATATAACGAAAATTTATTTTAAATAACGGAATATTTGAAAAGTATAAACTATTGAGCACTTTTCAAATGCTTACAGTTAAATGCTAAATTAAATTTGATAATATAAAACATATATGCTGAATTAACCTCGAGTGGTAAACCGCTGATGAATTTCTGTACACTAATGCCAAATAATTAAGTACTAATACCAATAATACCACGAGAATGCCAAAAATGCCAACATCTTGTACACCAAAATACACCAGCGGTTTACCCCTCGATTAACCTATAGTAGGTATTATAAAACGTATTTAACAGCGCCACTAACAAAGCATATAAGATCGCAGGGTTTGCAATCTATGCTATTATAACAGATTAAGATTTAAATAAGATGTCATCAAAAATTAATTCACCTTTAAGTTGGATTTATAAACTCAGCAGTTGAAGTTCAGTTGAGGTAGCAACTGTTCAACACTGTAAAATGAGGGCGCGAATTTATAGTCAGTTCGTTTTACGTTCACGGAGTTTAGAGATGGGCAATGTCTTTACATATCGAACTTGCTTTGCATGATGCCCTTTCCTGGATCGTGTTCAAATTACATCATCGGCTGAACAAAATATTACATGATGACGGCAAAACACATAGCACAAATCATAGAGAAATATAAGGTCTCTGGTTCCTCGGGAAATAAAACTTCCTCCATAATTTCTGTACGCACAAACAGAAAACAAACAAACAAAGGATATGCTACACAAAATAATAACAAAATTTCAAAATTCAAAACAAAATTTTAAACAATTGCAAAATACAAATAATTTGCTGTCATGTCACTTGTCATGACACGTGACAGGTAGCAGGTGGCGACGCTTTGGAGCCCTAACTGAACTATGCAACATTATGGCCAAGTTAGACAACCTTTCAAACACTCTTTTATTTTAGTTACTTTATGGTTCAACCCCAGAAACGCCTATGAGGTTTTTTCGCGAAAGAAAAAATTATGAATTTTTTTTTAGTTTTTATTTAAAAAAAATAATTTCTTGATAATATGGCAACATAGGTAGTAGATTAAATTTACAAGAAAGAAAATCCAGAAAAGATCCAGTGGTTCTCAAAATTTTGGCAAAAATTTTTTGGAAATTGTCATAGTATAATAACTCCGTTATTTTGGACTTATTTGAAGAACGATAAAGAGAAAATATGTTTCTTTTATCGAGATATACCATCCCTTAAAATACTTGCATTTATTTCTGGGACACCCTGTATAAAATGAGATCAATGTCGTACTGATAATAGTTGACCTTTCATGCAAAGTTTATATATCAAAGTGCCTTTTATTATTAACAAAGAGAATTACCCTCCAGTTAGCACACTAGAAAAATAAAAATAAATTAAATAATATATTTTGTATTATTATGTTAATTCTACTTTTTGTCATTTTTTGTGTCATGTTTATCGACATCGATTTATTTACGCTTTGTTCCAAACCCTCTTAACATGAACCGCCTATTTAAAAATAAGCATATTTCTTCAAATTCAAAACATTCATTTTTAAGAATAAACTAGGGAGAGGGAAATCGAAAACAAAAACAGAGATAATAGGTGTTAGGTAATAGCTTTTAGACTACCATTTGTGACGCACTGATGTTATTGTTGTTTGTAAATTTTGGTTATTGTGACAAAGAAGGTTATTAAAGGTAAAGTAAATGTTTCCTCATTATTTAACTAATTTTAACTAAAGCATATATTTTATTTTCATGTTGAAATATTCTGTGTTAAAGGTTTTACTTATTTATTTGATCTTTAACATGTCTATTTAATGGATTCAATTTATGCTGTGAATAATTTCTAGTTTAAAATTAAATCTAAATGCAATCGTAACTGTCCATTCGTGCCGATTATTTTGAATACGGATTTTGTTGCGTGTACTAATAATTTCCAACCGTGCCTGGGCGAATATCTTAGCAAACAAGTGAGCAGTCAAAACCAAAAAATGGTATAACTCATAGTCTAAAGATATTAGCTTTCTTCGGGTTCTTGTTATTACCGATTCTGGACCGTCCTAGAACTCTGATGCGTATGCGCAGATGGAAATATGAAGACATTATTTCATTTGCGCATGCGCTGCAGAGTTTTAGGACGGTTCAGAATCGGTAATAACAAGAACCCGAAAAAAGCTATTGACATAGCTGAGTAGCTTCCCGAATCCAATGTTTTAAGTGCGTTAAACTTGAAACCTTGGTATTCTTAATATTTGCATATCCTTCCATTAGGAAACATCAGGAATCATATGGTTTATACATCATATATACATTGGCGTAACTACAGGGATGCCCGGGGGTACCCCCCAGAGAAATCCTGTATTATGACTCTAGGCTACGTATTAATTTTTATTTGCTTGTGATGCAGTAAAAATTACGCTTTTTAATTTTGTTTAGTTAATATTATTTTGTTTTATTCAAAAATTTTTTGTTTTTTAAAATTATTTTTCATTTAAAAAAAAACAAAAGCCATAGGCACCCCCTGGGCTCAACCCCAGGCCCTCCCAGGTCCACCCCGGGATAAATTGCTAGTTACGCTAATGTTGGTATGAGAACAGTATTTATTTTATTATTATTACCCTTTTCTTAAAGTTTAGAACAGCATAGTTGGATTCTTTGGAATAGTGATCAAGGTTTTCTCTGTTGTGCTCTTTTACTTATGAATTCCATGGAGTGTATGACACTCCATTCGTTTAATTTAATAAAATAAGTAGGACTATTTACATTTAGCGTTTGAGTGACATAACCTATTCTCCTCAGATTTTCGAAAGATTGCTGCTGTCGAGTGCATCCGAAGTAAGTGGCAATAAAACATATCTTTATCACAACATAGGTTCCTTTATTTCATTTAAATTGTTTGCTATACAGTTGGCCAAAATATTACCTCTTCAACTTCGTTGAACGACCTTATTGCATCAATTTAATTACAAACGTTAATTATTGAGTCAAATAAAATTTAATATTTTAGCTAAATGTAACTATAACTGTAAATATTGGATGTTTTATTCATTCATAAATAAATATACAGAAAGTTTTATTAAATCAAAAATCAAACGTTTCAAATATACATACACCCACATATTGCATAATCTTTATTTATATTATTTAAATACTCTGAAACATATGTTTAAACTGGATATTTAAATAAATAAAGTTAGTTAAAATTGCAATCTGCTATATATTCTCGAATACCGATATACAGGGTGGTCCGAACTGTATTCCGAAAACTTCGGTAGCATATTCTGCAGATAAAAGTAAGTAAAAAAGTTCGTATAAATGTATGTCCTAAAATGCTTACTTTCAGAGATACAGGGTGTAGAAGTTACATTTTTATTTCGATTTTTTCTAAATAATTTCTGAAGTAACGTCAGTATTTGGATGAAAATTGGTGTCTGGGAGTTTTTGACATCGGAAATTTGATTTTGGTGTCAATATGACTCCTACTAGTAGAGGGCGCCACCTACATGTGTTTTAACTGTTTTTAAGCGTAACTTTTTGTCCGTACCTGTATAAAACTACCGAGCGAAAAAAGATACCTCTCTGTCACTTTTTACGTAAAAAATATCTCTTCGTAAAAATCGCTACGAGCAACCGTTCTTAAGATATTTACAATGGAAATAGACAATACATGTAATTATTGACGAAAAATATCACGTTGAGTAGATAGTTATTTCATTGAAATAAATCAATTTAGGAATTTTTTATTTTTTTAAATTTATCATAAATTTTTCTGCAAAAAATGATGATAAAA